TCTTTCCTGACACATTTCCTCAGTCTCTCGCCCCTCTCCCTCTCAGCAAGCTATATATTATGTAGTTTTATTCAGTCCGTACTGCACGCCTGAAACGGTGCTCGCACATGCACAATATCTCCCGAGAAGAATACTATTTCGCAAGCATTATGCATTTAAAATTGTAAGGAGATGTTCGAGCATAGATTTATATGATAACATTCTATCAGTAGCCTTCTTATAAAAAATAGCAAGAAGACCTTACAGGTAAGGTGCCCGCTGCATATTCCAGTCAGTACACAATCTGGTTACGTTATAGTGTGTTAGCGCATGCGCAATATCTTACCAGTAGAGTCATATTTTGTGATGAATATGCATTTAATATGGTTAGTGGGTATCTCAGCATAGATATATGTGATAAATCCTTATCAGTGAACTTGCGTTTATAATTAGGAGAGCGCTCTAGCCTGTAGAGTGTAAAACTCTTACGTAATCTCCTCCGGCCCTTCTCCTTGCTTCGCTTGTCCCTCGCTCAGTCTCCTTCTGCTTCTACCGCCCTTCAGCAATCTCTCCTGACACCTTTCCTCAGTCGCCCACCCCTCTCCCCTCAGCCAGCTGTATGATGCAGTTTTTATTCAGTCCGTACTGCACGCCTGAAACGGTGTTCACACATGCGCAATATCTCCCGATAAGAATACTATTTCGCAAGCATTATGCATTTAAAATTGTAAGGAGATGTTCGAGCATAGATTTATATAATAACATTCTATCAGTAGCCTTCTTATAAAAAATAGCAAGAAGACCCTACAGGTAAGGTGCCCGCTGCATATTCCAGTCAGTACACAATCTGGTTACGTTAGTGTGTTAGCGCTTGCGCAATATCTTACCAGAGGAGTCATATTTTATGATGAATATGCATTTAATATGATTAGGGGGTATCTCAGCATAGATATATGTGATAAATCCTTATCAGTAAACTTGTGTTTATAATTAGTAGAGCGCCCTAGCCTGTAGGGTGTAAAACTCCTACGTCATCTCCTCCGGCCCTTCTCCTTGCTTCGCTTATCCCTCGCTCAGTCTCCTTCTGCTTCTACCGCCCCTCAGCCATCTTTCCTGGCGCCTTTCCTCAGTCGCCCTCCCCTCTCCCCTTAGCCAGCTATATTATGCAGTTTTTATTCAGTCCGTACTGTACGCCTGAAACGGTGCTCGCACATGCGCAATATCTCCCGATAAGAATATTATTTAGTAAAAATTATGCAATTAAAGTGGAGAGTAGGTATTGCAGCATAGATTTATATAATGGCATTCTATCAGTACACTTCTCATAAAAAAATAGGAAGAAGCCCATGCATGTATGGTGCCCGCTGCATATACCAGTCAGTACACAATCTGGTTATGTTAGTGTGTTAGCGCATGCGCAATATCTCACCAAAGGAGTCATATTTTGTGTTGAATATGCATTTAATATGGTTAGGGGCTATCTCAGCATAGATTTATGTGATTAATTCTTATTAGTGAATTTGTGTTTATAGTCAGGAGAGCGCCCTAGCCTGTAGAGTGGAAAACTCCGACCTCATCTCCTCCGACCCTTCCCCTTGCTTCGCTTCTCCTTCGTTCAGCCTCCATCTGTTTCTACCACCCCTCAGCCATTTTTCCTGGCTTCTTTCCTCAGTCGCCCTCCCTCTCCCCTGAGCCAGCTATATTATGCAGTTTTTATTCAGTCCGTACTGTACGCCTGAAACGATGCTCGCACATACGCAATATCTCCCGAAAAGAATATTATTTAGTAAAAATTATGCAATTAAAGTGGAGAGGAGGTATTTCAGCATAGATTTATATGATAACATTCTATCAGTACACTTCTCATAAAAAATAGGAAGAAGCCCATGCATGTATGGTGCCCGCTGCATATACCAGTCAGTACACAATCTGGTTACGTTAGTGTGTTAGCGCATGCGCAATATCTCACCAAAGGAGTCATATTTTGTGATGAATATGCATTTAATATGGTTAGGGGCTATCTCAGCATAGATATATGTGATTAATTCTTATCAGTGAATTTGTGTTTATAGTTAGGAGAGCGCCCCCTTTCCCCCTCAGCAAGCTAATATTATGTAGTTTTATTCAGTCCGTACTGCCCGCCTGCTCGCACATGCGCAATATCTCCCGATAAGAATACTATCTCGCAAAGATTATGCATTTAAAAATGACAAGAGATATTCTAGCATAGATTGATATGATAAAATTCTATCAGTAGACCGCTTTAAAAAATAGGAAATAGACCTTACATGTAAGGTTCCTGCTGCATATACCAGTCAGTACACAATATGGCTACGTTATTGTGTTAGCGCATGCGCAATATCTCACCAGTGGAGACATATTTTGTGATAAATTTGCATTTAATATGGCTAGGAGCTATCTAAGCATAGATATACATGTGATAAATTCTCATCAGTGAACTTGTGTTTATAATTAGGAGAGCGCCCTAGCCTGTAGGGTGATAAACTCCGACCTCATCTCCTCCGGCCTTTTCCCTTGCTTGGCTTGTCCCTCGCTCATCCTCCATCTGTTTCTACCACCCCTCAGCCATCTTTCCTGGCGCCTTTCCTCAGTCGCCCTCCCCTCTCCCCTCAGCCAGCTATATTATGCAGTTTTTATTCAGTCCGTACTGTACGCCTGAAACGGTGCTCGCACATGCGCAATATCTCCCGAAAAGAATATTATTTAGTAAAAATTATGCAATGAAAGTGGAGAGGAGGTATTTCAGCATAGATATATATAATAACATTCTATCAGTACACTTCTCATAAAAAATAGGAAGAAGCCCATGCATGTAAGGTGCCAGCTGCATATACCATGCAGTCAGTACACGATCTGGCTACGTTTGTGTGTTAGCCTATGTGCAATAGCTCACCAGAGGAGTCACATTTTGTAATGAATATGCATTTAATATGGTTAGGGGCTATCTCATCATAGATATATGTGATTAATTCTTATTAGTGAACTTGTGTTTATAATTAAGAGAGCGCCCTAGCATGTAGCGTGTAAAACTCCTATACCTCATCTCCTCCGGTCCTTCCTCATGCTTCGCTTAATTGTCCCTTGCTCAGCCTCCTTCTGCTTTTACCGCCCCTTGGCAATCTTTCCTGACACCTTTCCTCCGTCTCCCACCCCTCTCCCCCTCAGCAAGCTATATTATGCAATTTTATTCAGTCCGTACTGCACGCCTGAAACGGTGCTCGCACATGCGCAATATTTCCCGAGAAGAATACTATTTCGCAAGTAAATAAATACATAAATATTTAAACAAACAAATATAACATTCGTGAAAATGAAGAATTACTACAACAATAATTAGAGTGTAAATTACTAAGAGAATAATTGCATAGAGACACACATAGAATGAGAGAGAGAGAGAGAGAGAGAGAAAGAAAGAGAGAGAGAAAGTAAAAGAGAGACATAGATAGAAAGAGGGAGAGAGATACATAGCAAGGGGGAGAGAGCGAGAGAAAGAGAGATAGCGCGAGGAAGAGGGCGCGCGCGAAAGAGAGCGAAAGGGAGAGAATTAGACTGAGAGAGGGAGAAGGTGAGACATACGATGTTATTATTGTGAAAGTGTACACAATTTTAAACCATTCATATTTGCACATAATAATAAAAACTAGCCTATCTATGTATATTATGCGGAAGCGTTGAAGAAATGCTCCGTAGATAACGCGCCATCTGCCGACAGCGATATTACTATATTATATTATCACTATAAGTGCGTAGCGATAGGGGCACATTGTGCGTAGACGAGGAAAGTCTTTGCCGCACCAGATTTAGGGTCTGCTAATCATACTAATAACTTAAAGCAGTTCTTAACAAAGCAGAGCGAGAGAGAGAGCGAGATAGTATTGATGTAACCACTATATATCGTCGTTTATTGCGAATATCCAATGTACAAATTTCATTTCCTGCGAGAAATTCAAGCGAAAGCTTACTGAATAAAATTACAGTGTAAAAATATATATGTGGAGATAAAGATTATGTAATATATCATGATATCAAAGAGGTTACTCATAAATGTAATTATGAAACCGAATCGGAAATCAGTTGAAATCGCAATCGGTATTACGGCGCTATTATTACAACGTATCAGTCTTTAATCTCCACCTACTCAAAATAAAAATCCTTCCGACTCGACTCCGTCGTAATGTTAAGTTCTCTCGCTCTTGACGAGAGGATGTCCCCGCTGTCTCCGAAGCGTGCGCTGCCGGTAGGGGGCGGCACCTCGCTCTACGTGCGACGCTTGGTGGCGGCGTGGCGCGCCTTGCTGCGCCCCGGTCGCACGCGCCTCCCGCCCGCCCTCGTCGCTCGCACGGCGCCCGACGACAGCACGTCGTCGCTGTGTTTGCGCACGGTCGGCGCGACGACATCCGGCATCGTCGGCGGCGCTGCGGTCTCTTCGGCGACCGTCGCGTCGTCAGGCGGAGCGTCGGCCATGGCGACGGCAGCAACAGCGCGGCTGAGCAGGGCGAATGCGGAGGCGACGGCCCTGGCATCGCGCGTGTCGCCAGCGCGACGTCGTCGGCCCCGTTGTCCGCGTAGTCCGCCACGTGCGTCCTTAGCAGCGGCAGCGAAGGCGGCAGCAGCGGCGGCAGCGTCGCCGGTAGTGACAGAAGCAGTGGCGGTGTCAGCATCAGCTGCAGCGGCGGTGGCAGCAGCGGCAGTGGCGCTAACATCGTCGTTAGCAGCGGCAGCGTCGCCGGAAATGGCGGAACCAGTAGTGGCGTCAGAATTAGCGCCAGAGGCAGCAGGAGTGGCGTCAGCGATAGCGACAGTGGCAGCTGCGACGACAGCGTCTGTGACAATGGCGGTGTCAGTGTCACCGGCAGCATCCGCTGCAGCGGCAGTGGCAGTAGCGGCAGTGGCAGCAGCGGCAGTGGCGGTAACAGCGTCAGCATCAGCGGCAGCGGCCACGGCAGTAGCGGTAGTAGCATCAGCAACAGAATCAGCGGCAACGTCATCGGCAGTCGCGGTCACAGCGTCGTTAGCAGCTGCAACGGCGGTGGCAGCAGCGGCAGCGGCAGCGGCAGCGGTAGCGTTGCCGGCAGTAGCGGAACCAGTAGTGGCATCAGAGTTAGCGCCAGCGGCAGCAGGGGTGGCGTTAGCGTCAGCGCCAGAGGCAGCAGGAGTGGCGTCAGCGATAGCGACAGTAGCAGTAACGGCGACAGCGTCTGTGGCAATGGCGGTGTCAGCATCAGCTTCAACATCAGCTGCAACAGCAGTGGCAGCAGGGGCAGTGGCGGTAACATCGTCGTTAGCAGCGGCAGCGCCGCCGGCAGTGGCGGAACCAGTATTGGCGTCAGCGGCAGCAGAAGTGGCGCCAACGATAGCGACAGTAGTAGTAGCGGTGTCAGCGTGTATAGCAATGGCGGTGTCAGTGTCAGCTTCAACATCAGCTGCAGAGGCGGTGGCAGCAGCAGCAGTGGCGGTAACAGCGTCAGCGGCAGCGGCCGCGGCAGTGGCGGTGGTAGCAGCAGCAGTGGCGGTAACAAAGTCAGCGGCAGCGGCCGCGGCAGTGACGGGGGTAGCATTAGCGACAGAATCAGCGACAACGTCAGCGGCAGCATTAACTGCATCGGCGGCAGCAGCAGCAGCAGCAGTGTCGGTAACAACATCGTTAACAGCACCAGCGGCGCCGACAGCGACAGCGGCAGCGGCAGCGTCGCCGGCAGTGGCAGAACCTGTAGTGGCGTCAGCGGCAACGTCGCCGGCAGTGGCAGAACCAGTAGTGGCGTCAGCGTCAGCTGCAGCGGCAGCATCAGCGGAAGCGGTGGTAACAGCGTCGTTGGCAGCCGCGACGGCAGCGGCGGTGACAACATCAGCGACAGCATCAGCGACAACGTCAGCGGCAGCAGCGCCACGAGTGGCGTCAGCGATAGCAGCGGTGTCAGTGTCGGTGACATCAGCAACGGCAGTCGCGGTAACATTGTCGTTGGCAGCATCCGCGGCAGCGGCGGCAGCATCAACCGCAGCAGCGACAGCATTAGCGACAACATCAGCAGCGGTGGCAGCGGCAACGGTGGCAGCGGCAACGGTGGCAGCGGCAACGGTGGCAGCGGCGGCGACGACCTCCGCCCGCCTCTGCACAGCTTCTCGGCGTCTGCTCGCTAGCAGCTGGTAGCGGACGCGGCGCTCGCCGGCGATGGTGCGACGCCTCTCCTCGGCCGCCTCGACCCTGCAGGAAGAAGACTGCCATCAGCTGCGCCGTCTGCTACATGCTCATCGCTATTGCCGTCGTGCAATAGAACGAGACAGCGGCAGGTCGAATTAAATTTTATAGGGCCATTCAAGTTGGTCGCCTGAACAAACAGCCATTTAAAGGAACGGTTAATCACCTTTCTTTTCAATATAAATTTTCACGGGGGGAAAAGAGGGTATATACCCTACTTGGGATTCATAGAAGGGCACGCAGGCACTTTTTTTTAGGAATATGTAAGGAGGGGAACCGCACCACTAGACGCCTCGTTGATATGTGAAACGCGTTTCCCGTCACTTCTAGATCTAGTGTGCCGCCACTCACCGATCGCGCGCCGCTCTCTGCCTCTCCTCCATGGCTGCGACGACGGCAATCTTCTTTACCGCCTGTGCTGCCCTCTGGGGAGCTCTGGCCACCGTCTCGACGCGCTTCTGCAGGATGCGGCTGCGAGCGTCGGCGGCCGACGTCGCCCTGCAACGAATCGTTGTGTTTGCACTCACACACGTGTGTAACTCTCCGTCGTCTCCCGCTCTAACCGTAGCGAATGATCGCGCGTAGTCGTGCTAGATTCTCACTGGCTCTTACCGAGCGTGCAGCAGCGCCGCCGCATCCATCCTCCTCTTCTCCTCGGTCCCCACTATGGCGCGCAGCCTCGCCGCATGTGCTGCCCTCTGTGGTGTGTTCGCCGCTCGCTCCCTGCGTTCTTCGAGGATAGCGCTGCGCGAACGAGTGGCGAGTAGGGCCCTGTAACGAGCAACCGCATTTATTTACTAAACACGCGCACTACGTGTGTACAGTGTAGACGAACGACGCGTTATAGAAACCGACGGGTGGACGCGAGTACTGGGCGCAATATTGTAATTATTCTCACTTAGTCTACTGTAGTGCATGTTTGGCTGTTTTACACTCAGTATCGCTTGCGTAAAATTATCGTACGAGTGAGCACGAAGCTATTATGATGTAACGCGACCATTACGAATCGTAACGCAGAGTAAATCGCACCTTTGGTCGTGGATCAAAGAACAGTTGCTGGTAGCGCGGGCATTCGTGAGCCGTGTAGGCGCGCTTCCAACGACTAGGTTCTCCCACTGACGCAAGGCCGGAAGATAGATATCCCTACAGATTCAAGAATTCAAAAGAGTAGTTATTAAAATGATGTGTGCATGTAGTACGCTTCTAATTAATTCCAGTGGACATTTTTCGTTATGTTTTGTAGCCACGAAATTACCGCGTAAGCGTTTATAATGTAGAATTATTTATGTTCGTTATGAAAAAAATACTATCTGTTAAGTAATGTCTCGTCAATTTATATAATTAATAAATAACCATAAAACAGAAGCGTTTTATTGACGTTTCTTGTGCTAGACTATCAGGTATAACTTGTTCCATTCGTAGATGAGAGCAATAAAAATTACCGTTACGCATTTTCTGCGACCAGAGCGTTTCGATTACATAATTAAATTTAAATGTAGCATACATCCAGGAAGTCTTCATTCATTAAAGCAATTAATTTAATTAATTTTAACGCAATTAATACAATAATAATATAACTGGCGCAATAAACACGAACTGCGTTTTAAGAATCATTTTACGCAGAGATCGCTCTGGTTTGCACGCGCACAAACATATTAATTTAGTTACAACGTTACTTTTAATACTTTAGTATATATCACGTGCGCGTCTCCTACCTTTTACTATCTTTCGCTCCGTTATCTTTTCTGCAACATTTCCCAAGTAAATTTCCCATTTTGCTTTGGGCTTTTTTCTCCAGTACGACATCCGTTACGAGTCCATGTGTGCTTCGCAGTAGCGCACAATGACTGTAGTGAACACACTACGCCTCCATGGCAACCATGGCTCCATGACATTATGGCTAGCGCGCCATTTACCGATTACGTCATTATTGTATTTGTAAAACAATGGATATAGCGATATAAGCGCACTGTGCGTAGACGAAGAGACAGACTCTCTATCGCATTAATTTTAGGGTTTGCATGCTTATTATAACTTATTACATTATAACTTATTTATAACGTATTATTATAACTTATAACTCATGCTTATCAACGGGTTGTACCAGTCCTTAATAGTTAGGATCATTGCAACTCGTATCGCGATGGGGCGTTCTCGCAGGCTAGTCGCGAGTGCAAGGTTACAGTAGCAGTCTTAGGCGTCGTACCGGTGCTTTTAGAATATAACGTAATCTGAATTAGCTTTACTGTTCACAGCATGAAATATCGTAGTGTTTTTGTGTTTTTAACGATTTGGAGATTTTTTTCGCATTGTATTGTTTTATTCAATTGACATTTATATCATAATTTTGTGATTTTTAGTGATTCTGAGTTGTTATCGATTTCACATTCTCTTCGTAATCCACATATTGCACTTTTTTCCTACGTTACTGAATTTCCAAATTTTGACGGTTTTCTGGTTATATCTTTACTCAATAATATAGAGCTACATACAGCCGTGTCTGAGTAAAAGATGGTCATATTTCATGGTCTACCACACAATTAATTTTTTTTAGTAAAGGGGAAACGCGAACTACGTGAAAAGTGATGCATGTTCGCGTGAAATTCTATGTTTGTTCAACGTTTTAATTCAAAGAGAAAGCGAATACTTCATACTTCATTATATGCGGTGTCTATGTGACTATATAGTCAACATATATTGATATACGTTGGGCATGGATTTACTAAAGAGAACAACAACATCATCGTCAGAAAACAACTAATACTAATATTACTACAAGAAAGCTATACGTCGTAGAGACTAACTGCTGTACATACACATATATCTGCTTCGTTCGCGATTGGCCAAATCGGAACAACTGTCTGGCTTCTACTACGGGGCGCCATACAAGACAGGGCTCAATTTTGTCTAACAAAACTCAATTCTGTCTCACAAAACTCAATTTTGTGAACACAAAACTCAATTCTGTCAATCCTGTACCACAAAACTCAATTTTGTAAACACAAAACTCAATTCTGTCAATCCGGTTCCACAAAACTCAATTTTGTGAACACAAAACTCAATTCTGTCAATCCTGTTCCACAAAACTCAATTCTGTCGAACCGGTTCGACAGAATTGAGTT